GCACCAGAACCTCTCGCCATAAGAACAGTTTCTTCCCCTCTGCTGTTGGACACATGAACAATAACCGTATGACTGTTCCCACCCCTAACACATGACCCTACGCTGTGTTCACTGCATGATTCCATGTTTTGGCACTGATCACCACCTGCACTCATGTATATATCTATCTACTTAGCACTTTTAATTCTTATTCTCATGTATATCTCATGCACATATCTTTCTACGTAGCACTTTTAATTCTTATTACTACTTTTATTTTTTCATGTCTATTTAAGTGCAATTTATGACACTATGTTTGCACTGAAGCACCGCAGCAATTTCCTAATGTTGTAAACCTGCTCAACATTTGGCAATAAACCCCTTTCTGATTCTGATTCTGATTCTGAAAAGAAAAGAAAACATTTCCACTCAGAGCAGCCAGGGCGTCGGCTTGGTGTGGCAGCGGGTGCGCGTCTTTAGCAGTTTTTGCATTGAGCCATCTGAAATCAGTGCAAATGCGCAGGCTGCCATCCTTCTTCCACACCAAGACCAGTGGCGATGCATACTCACTGTTTGACTTCCGGATTATGTCCCTTTCTTCCATCTCATTCAGAGCAGTTCTCAGCTTCTCATACTGACTCGGCGGTACTCTGCGATAAGGCAAACGAAAAGGCCTCTCATCCACAAGGTGTATTTTGTGGACAACATCAGTAGCTTCTCCACAGTCCATTTTATCCTTAGAAAAGATAGACTCATACTTTTCCACAAGCTGCAGAAGCTGATCTTTCCATCTGTCAGACACCTCACAATTGTCTAAGTCCAAGTCTTGTAGTCCTAGTCTGTGCAAGAGTTCCTTCCTTTGTTCAACAGACCTTATGGGCACAGAACCCTGTTAAAAAGAGTGGCTGTTAGCCATGATCTTTTCAGGAGGAGACAGCTCTTCAACTGCGATACAAGGGTAGACATCAGCAATTTTACAGCTCTTCCTCAGAGTCACACGCTTGTTGCTGGGGTTAATCAGCTTGAGAGGGACCCATTTGTCACCCCACAGTGATGAGACGGAACGGCCAACCAGGATGTTTCTGGGTCTACATCTTGACTGTGTAGACTCAACAATAACAGTGCAGCCTGCTGATAGAGGTGAAGAGGGAGGTAATTTACCCCACACAAGGTGTTCTTGAAGGGGTTCCAGCGTAACACGCTGTCTCAACTTCACTGTGCCAATCTTATCAGGCACCGCCCCTCCTCGCCAACGCTCAACATTGGAAAGCATGGATAAAAACTGGCTACAGTCATCGTTGGTGACATCACCTGAAATAGATAGAAGCCTCCAATGCTCATCCGTATTCTTCATCACATGAATCAACGACTTAATAGCGTTACTGCCAAAAATCATGTCATCACTTTGGCCTGGAATAACCAGCGTGGGGATGAGCAGCTGGAAACCATAAATAGTCACTTCCAAATCACAAACTGCTTTTGGTTGGAACCAACAACAACAATGTCATGAGCTGGTTCAATCTTCAGATCAGGGCAGGACTGTAAAAGCCGCATAGCAGCAGCCTCACTAATAGAGCACGACATAGAGCCACCGTCGATCATGGCTCTCAGTGAAACTCCACCCACAGTTCCCACAGTTGTGTAAAACAAACTGTCAGATTTCTTAATTCTTTGCGTCATTTGGAAGACAGCTGTCATACCAGGTGGCGAAGCGGAACAGAGATTCATACATGGATCCCAGGTCATCGCTGTCGCAGATGGGAGAGTCATTCAGATGATCCACACCTTTCTCCTTCAAATGTGGATCATCTAGTTGTCCAACCGTTGAGGGGCAGAAGACGACGAGGATCTAGAACAAGCACGCCTTCCGTGGTCAAGTGAGTGGCACAGAAAACAGAGTTTGTGATCTCGGCAGTGCATAAAAGCTGTGTGAGACATATCATGACAGACGGAGCAGGGTTTATCATGTAGGCCCTCAATCCTGGAACGTCTGGAATTAGGCCGTGTGGTCAAACCAGGCTGAAAGGATCCTTGAGAAGAACCTTCTCAAGCATGCCTATAAGCCGCTCCAAAGTAGCTAAATCTGTTGACTGTGGCTGAATGTGTTTCTCTGTTGGCTGGGCAGGCAATGCTGCTGATATTTGCTGTGCATTCATTGCAACTCTCCCAGTTGTCATGCTGCTTGAATTCAACGTTCCTTCAGAGTGGGACTCACACAGGATTTCCTGGACCTCGTGGACCGTCCATTTATCAATTGTCTTTGATCTAAAGATCATGGCAAGCTCAGGAGAGGGACAATTCAACAGATCAACAGCACGGTGCAGCCTAAGCCAGTAATCAAATGCACTTTCACCTTTCTCTGGGAGAGTGGTGTAGAAGTCTGCCAGTGGAAGAGGTGAGCACTGAGCAGAGTCAAAGTGTCTCCTCAGGATTCCATAAATAGCCTCAGGATCACCTGTGGCATCTACGACACTGTTTCTAATCCCAACCTGGACCACATCCTTAGCCTTGCCTCTCAAATGAACAAGGATCTCTTCAGCCTGTTCTTCAGATCTCAGACTCCCCAGCTTTATAAAGGCTCTCATCAGATCCTCCCACTCTGTCACAGAAATGAGATCAGAACCATCCCCTCTGAAGCATGGTGGGTCCTTAAGCTTCCTGTGGGACACAAACTGCACAGGCGCAGCATCAACAGCAGATGTAGACGACACAGCATGGAAAGATGTGGCAGTAGGTGCAGGTAAAGGGGTACTAGCAGATGGGCTGAGCTGGGTTAAGATACTCTGCGCTACCATGTGACCAACCAGCTGGATTACATCCCCCATCTGATTCACAATCTCCGTGGCAATAGTATCTGGGTTAGGAGAAGGTGAACTGTTGTTCTGAGACATGCGTGACACGTCCAAACAGTTGATTGACGGCTCACGGCACCAATGTAACCCCCCTCAGTCTCTATGTCCGGTGCTGTATGAGTAAAACTCTCTGGACTTGAGATGGGTAGAGCTCAGGTGTGGTTTATTCCCCTTTTGTGGGTCTCTGCAATAACATGGGACATGAATAACCATGGGTTTCCAGCAACAGGATTCCGCCCAAACACAGCAAAAGCTTCATTGCTACTCACGGATAAACAAATGATCGTATAGTGGAACTCTCAGTTTTCTTAAAATAAATAAAAAAAACAAATATTGATTGAAAAATAAAATGGCAACAAAACTTATCACGGAAAATAAAATAAAAATATTACTTCTGTTGAAATCTCCCAATTCTTTGAATCTTTGGGCTGAAGGAAGGACAATACTCGGTGTATTTATGCTCAATCAACAATCATTTATTTCCATACAATTCAACACTTAAGAGCATAAGAA